TTTCTTCAGCGTTCTTTCTTCAGCGTTTTTTTTTCTCATATTCGATTATTTTTAATCACTACTGTATCTGTAGTTGAAACCTCCGTATCGCAACCAATCAAACAACAGAAAGTCGGTATTGTATATTTTCTAAAACGAAAAAGAGGAGTAATTTCAAAAGTCGTTTATCATTTGTGTTCCTTGAGATATATCAATGAAATTCGGTAATATCTGTAGGGCATAGAAAAACTGCATCGAAACGATATCTTGGCTCAAAATTCCTTTTCAGCACATTCAGCCATCTGAAATAGCAATACCAAAGGCGAGAAGGGGCTACACTGTCGAACTGTACATCTGCATCACATTAAGCAGCTCACAGAATCAGCTGCTCGTACGATAGAAATCACCAGCCACCATGATTCTTTTTCTGCCTCTGGTAAGTGTAGTATGTATATCTTGATTATGCGATATTACAGCCAATATTTAAATTGCTCGCATTTTAGGAACTTGGGTACTGTTAACCTTTTGGACCCTTTGGTTTTCTTTGAATTTCCTGATAGGCCGTGCATTTTGATTAATGCTGCCCTGGGAAATATGGCAGATAGTTGGCAGGAGTCGGAGGCTCCTAATCAAGAAGTCCCTGAAAACCGGACCAGTTAGCCACAACTACGATGGCGGGTGGGTTGGCCCGATTGGTTAGGCCCTGGAAGTGATTGCGTACAGATATGTGTGTATGAATAGGGGATGTACGACTCGCGAACAATGAAACTGCCATCTTTTAAAAAACTGGCTGCCCTGTATCACAAACGGTCGTGAGTCATGAGGTGCCATCACCGCTGCCTTGTGTGAGACTAGGTCGCCGGGAGTACTGTCTGCTGTATTGAAAAAATGAAACTAGTTCCTGGATCTATTTTGACTGCTAAAGCTTGACACTGATTTGAGTTGACTAATTTCAGGCTTTCCTCATTCACGGATGCAACGGACAAGATTGTGAGTTTATTGCAACCCTCAAGAAACCTTTTATCATCACAGTATGAAATTTTGTTCCATGAACAACTTAAATTGAACGAATTGCCGTGCTATGGGCTGCTTTCAACCATAGTGTTCATCGGCATTTAGTTTCTCTCAAATTCAATTTGCCATATCCTGCTTCCGAAATTATCATGATTTTTCAAAAAAGAACTTTAGGATGCACTACAGCAAACCTAGACGAAGCCAGTATGTTTCAGATTCAAATGCGAGGGATGTAACAGCAGAGGTCGTTTCGCTTATGAATGAAGAAAGACATAGATTAGCGGCTGGATATCTTTACGGGAAGGTTGGAAATCTACCATAAGGCTCGTCGTGACTTTTGAGCCTTCCATAACCTATTGTGGGTTTCAAAGGGTCAGTTTACGACAGTCTACGACAAATAAGGCTCTGGGAAGTCTTTCTTGGTAGTAATTTATGACCTCGAGAAGGTCCCACGGATGGAGCATCATCGTGTTGGAAAGCTCCTCGAAATGGACGAAACTGGTATTAAGAGCTGTCCCGATGCCCGCTGCCGCTCGTTTTGCCAAAGAAAGGACGTGTTTAGCAGCTTCGTGGAGGCTGATATCATTCAAAATCTAGCACGTTTACTTTCAATGCTCAGCTAATACACACTGAATGCTGGCATAATTTGCTGTGAATGACTGAGAAAAACTTGCTCAAGCACCCTTCCCGTCGTTGATACACTGTTTAAACTTAGGTGTGATCAAATTTGTAGCCTTTATATGTACTGAAGGATTTGTGATTAATTTCCTCTTTCCTCGATATCGATGTTCCAGTTCGCATCAGCCTTTTTGCTTCAGAATTCAAAAAACAATTTACAAAATTGTAGAAACTAGATCTTGAATTGTTTTCCTCTCCATAAGTCTCTCGGTGAATTGCCCATGCCGTGTCGAGCGCATTTCCCCACATTCATTTCCATGGGATTGACTTCGCTTGCTTCCTCTACGTGCAATGCGTCTGTTCTGTTATTTCAGAAAGCCTAGAATTGTTTCTTGTTTGCTCGGTAAGAACTGTTTATTAGATTATTTTCTCGGATGCTTTCTTAGCTTAGTGTGAGCCTCTTTCTTCATATCTTTGGGGTTAAGCCTAAACAATGGGGAAAACAACAAAAAAAAAACGAGGAGAATGAGGCGCTCCTACCTTTTTCTGGGATTTCTTCAAGTTATAAAGTCTTTTCGTCAGATGAATGACTTCAGCAACATAGAAAAATTCTGAATTTCTGAATCTCAGGCTCTCATTGAATCAAATTTCCAGAAGCCAAGTACTGTGCTTAATGCAACGGCTCGACTGTATATTTCAAGCTGTAATGCAAGAAGGGCTAACCTTCCAGATGGTCATTCAATCAGTATTTACGCTTTGTGAGTATTTTCAAGATGAATAATTTTCGGAAGGAAGTGATGAGCTTCACTTTATGATTTCCATCCACTTCTCTTTGAAGCACGAGCCAATTGGTATCCTCCATGGGTCTAGACTTTATACTCGGATACGTACTCTCAGAGTGGCGAGATGAGCCGGTTCTTCTTGGAATTGACGACAATATGATGTACACTAACACAGAGTTGAGAGCCTTTGCAAACGTGAGATCTTACCTGGTATATCTATTAAAGGTGAAGGCATAGAAAACTCAATAGAATCACTTTCAACAGTTGAAATGATTTCGAAAACACGAAGTAGAGCTTTGAAGTGAATGCTACGTCTTGCGGGTCGTTCAAGGGTGTATGTCAAGTGGTTTTGACAATTCTCTATGTGATATCGTTGTGTTAAGATCTATTCTGAAACTCTAAGCTTTCTACGCCACCCTTACACTATCCCGCAATATGCTTTTCATTAATTTACTTGAACCAAATACCTCAAAATTATCATTAACATTTTGTCCTTGTTAACAACTACTTCCAAGCCTTCTTTCAAGCTTGTTTCTTATTTTCGTCAATGTTTTATGTTTTATGCAGATGTTTTACTACAAGTCAACCGAAGTTGGATGCTATTATAATCTATGCAACACAACAGGACAGGCAACGCATGCTGTTGCTTGCGTATTCAACATGACGTGAGTTGTACCTTCTAGAAATATTTTACCATGAGTTATATAGTGAACTAGGCACAAGTGGTGTAGGTGGCAAGTGTGGACACGCTATGGCCCTTATAATACGGGTATCGAGTACAGTCCAAATATTCGCCCAGGACAACCAAGTCATCCATCTCTGTGGGGTCATTATTCAGTACTAGTCTCGTTTGAGAGGATAAAAGCATTGTCTCGTGTATTGACTGGCCACAGCAAGCCATTTTTCAGGCCATATGCACTCATAATGCTATTGCATTTGTGAATGAAAGACGAATGTGGGTGGGTACATCCTAGAAACGGGAGGGATTAATCCCAAAAAACCGTATCCCTCCCAGATTTCATTATAGTGATCTATGTGACAATACTTTCTACCGCTGGGAGAAGAATCGTAGATGGGCTGACTATTCGGGTTCGACTGCTTCTGGACAGTCTAATTAATTCCTGTTAATACCAGATTTCATTATAGTGATCTATGTGACAATACTTTCTACTGCTGGGAGAAGAATCGTAGATGGGCTGACTATTCGGGTTCGACTGCTTCTGGACAGTCTAATTAATTCCTGTTAATAGATTGTATCAATTTGGGTATGACTACAAGTAATAATTCGAAAGTTAAAGTAGAAAGGTAAACGAAACTGCAACAGCTCCGATCAGTTATGCACCAGATTTCATTATAGTGATCTATGTGACAATACTTTCTACTGCTGGGAGAACAATCGTAGATGGGCCGACTATTCGGGTTCGACTGCTTCCGGACAGTCTACTTAATTCCTTTTATTAGATTGTACTAATTTGGGTATGACTACAAGTAATAATTCGAAAGTTAAAGTAGAAAGGTAAACGAAAGTGCAACAGCTCCGATCAGTTATGCACAATTGCTTTTTGTGTTATTTGTTTCCCAGCCAAGAGCTGTGGCAGATAAATGTTTAAGAACTGTTTGGAGTTTTTAAGATTTTTTTCACGATTGACTCAACTTTATGAAACTCAACTCAACTAAAACTCTTCTATGAAACCAGTTCGTTTTGTACCTATGCTAA